CTCTCAATTCTCTGAAGGCTGAGAGAGGTGAGGAAGCTGAAAAAAGAAAAGTTTTAAGCTAGCAGCAGTTCGTTCATGACATATAAGGACAGAAGCCAACTCTATAACATAAAAGTGCAAGATGAAACAGCAAGTGCTGATGTAGAAGCTGCAGCAAGTTCTCCAGAAGATTTAGCAAAGATAATTAATGAAGGTGGCCAAAGAAAACAACACATTTTCAATGTGGATGAAATAGCCTTATTTCGGGAGAAGATCACATCTAGGACTTCCATATCTAGAGAGGAGAAGTCAATGCCTAGCTTCAAAGCTTAAAAGGACAGTCTGACTTTCTTGTTAGGGGCTAATGCAGCTGGTGACTTTAAGCTGAAGTCAATGCTCACTTGCCATTCTGAAAATCCTAGGGCCCTTAAGAATTATGATAAATCTGCCATGTCTGTGCTCTATAAATGGAACAACAAAGCCTGCATGACAGCACATCTGTTTACTACATGGTTTACTGAGTATTTTAAGGCCCCTGTTGAGACTTACTTCTCAGGAAAAGAGATTCCTTTAAAAAATATCACTGTTCAGGGACAGCTGGTGGTGTAGTGGTTAAGTTTGCATGCTCTGCTTCGGCGGCCTGGAGTTCGCTGGTTTGCATCCCAGGCACAGACATACACATCGCTCATCAAGCCATGCTGTGGCAGGCGTCCCACATACAAAGGAGAGCAAGATGGGCACAGATGTTAGCTCAGGACCAATCTTCCTCAACAAAAAGAGGAGGAGTGGTGGTAGATGTTGGCTCAGCGATAATCTTCTTCACAAAATAAACAAAAATCTCTGTTCATTGACAATGCACCTGGTCACCTAAGAGCTCTGATGGAGATGGACAATGAGATTAATGTTTTCATGCCTGCTAACACAACATCCATTCTGTAGACCGTGCATCAAGGAGTAATTTTGACTTTTAGGTCTTATTATTCAAGAAATACATTTTGTAAAGCTATAGCTGCCATAGATAGTGAGTCCTCTCATGGATCTGAGCAAAGGAAATTGAAAACCTTCTGGAAAAGATTTACCATTCTAGATGCCATTAAGAAAATTCATGATTCGTGGGAAAGGTCAAAATATCAACATTAACAGGATTTGGAAGAAGTTGATTGCAACCCTCATGGGTGACTTCGAGGGGTTCAAAATTTGAGTAGAGGAAGTAACTGCAGATGTGATGGAAATAGCAAGAGAACTAGAATTAGAAGTGGAGCCTGAAGATGTGGCTGAATTGCTGGAATCTCAAGATAAAACTTTAATGGAGAAGGAACTATTTCTCATAGATGAGCAAAGAAAATGGTTTCTTGAGATGGAATCTACTCCTGGTGAAGATACTGTGAAGATTGTTGAAATGACAACAAAGGATTTAGAATATCACATAAACTCAGTTGACAAAGCAGCAGCAGTATTTGAGAGGACTGACTCCAATTTTGAAAGTTGTTCTACTGTGGGTAAAATGCTGTCAAACAGCATCACATGCTACGGAGAAATCGTTCATGAAAAGAAGAGTCAATCAATGTGGCAAACTTCACTGCTGTCTTCCTTTAAGAAATTGCTATAGCCACCTCAACCTTCAGCAACCACCATCCTGATCAGTCAGCAGCCATCAACATCGGTGCAAGACCCTCCACCAGCAAAAAGATTATGACTCGCTGAAGGCTCAGATGATGGCTGGCATTATTTAAGAGTACAATACATATATTTTTAATACTAGGATGGTTTCTCCTACTATTATTATTTTTGTTTTTCAGGTATGCTTTCTGGTGAGGGAGATTGGCCCTGAGCTAACATCTGTTGCAATTTTCCTCTTTTTTTCTCCCCAAACTCCCAGCATACAGTTGTATATCCTAGTTCTAAGTCCTTCTAGTTCTTCTACACGGATGCTGCCACAGCATGGGCTGATGAGTGGTATGTCCACATTCTTTTTTAGTTAATTGACTTTTTAGTTGAAATGCATACATAAAACATAAAACAAGAACAAAACTGTGGAAAAGGCTATTGTACTTCTTAACTATCCAGTCACTCTTCAACCTATGCTAATCCAGCTTCTGCTCCACGACTCCGCTAAAGCTATACTGGCAAAGGTATCTGATGACTGTCCCTCCACAGGGGCAAGTACAAGAGGACTTCTCCACCAAGTGGACTTATCGCACCTCAGCGCTCCTGACCCCCATCACCTCCCTTGAGGTCACAACACAAGCTCTTCCTTGGCTCTCCCTTTTCTGATGCCACTTAAACACTCATGGTAAACGCAGTTCCACCTTCCCCACGTTTTCTTTCTGTAAGCACCCTCCTTAAGTAGGCAGACAATATAATTCTTGTGATCCTAATGGGATGCCTTTGAGAGTGAAAGACGGCACTACTAATAATTACTCCTCTTGAATAGCAGGTGTGAAGTGAGACTGTCCCAAACAAACTGGGATACATGGTCACCCTATTCTTATGAGATCACATCCACTGTTACGGTTTTTAACTAACACATACCTATCAACCAACACATACCTATCAACCACTTGCAAAATTAAACCTGTAGCCTTGATACTGACAGTAAGCTTTATTTTCCAAATCTTCAGGTTATAATTTCTTACAGATATCTCAAATTCAGCACAGCCAAAACTCAATTAATCATTTACATTCCTAAACCTGCTAATCCTTAAATTTTCCTATCCAAGTTATACATACTACTCAGTCACTTAACAATTCAAACTGGGGATCGTTTTATACTTCCTGTTCTCCCTCACCCATCATATTTAATCACCAAGACATGCTGACTTTAGTTTTGAAGATTTGTCCAACCTACAATTTTTCCCCTGTCATAAGCTTTTATCTTATTTCCTTGCTCTAGTCTTGTCTCCTTCAAGTCTATTTTCCACACTGTGGCCAGAGTGATCCAAAACTGACCACACGCCCACTTTGAACCTTTCAATAGCTTCCTATTACTTACAGGTTAAAGACTTTCATCATGATCTCATTCCTGTTCACTTTCTCTGTGTCATAACCTGTGAGTCTTTCTCTACCTTTGCACTCTAGTAATACCACATAGCTTGTAGAAAAACACAAATACACAACCCTCTGTTAAGCTGTTTTTCACTTGCAAGTCTTTATTCATGCTGTTCCTTCTTCCTGGAATGCAGATCCCCTTATTTAGCTTGCCAACATCTATACCATTTTCTCTGGTCACTCACAGCTGATGCAGAGGGGAGCTCAGTGCCTCTCCTTTAAACTTCCACATGACCTGTCCACACCTCAACCACAGCACCAGATGTGTAAGTTTGAAATTAATCACGTCAGTCTTTGCTAGTTGGTAAGCTTCTTGAGGACAGGAACAGTGCCCCTTAAATACTCAAAAAACAGTCACCCTATTTTTAAGGGATCTCATCCATTGTTATGTATTTAACCAAGCAAATTAAAATAAGTTGGACTAAATATTGAAATGAATAAACAACTTCATTACCCCTGCATTTTTCCACATGTGCCCATATGTTTTATGTCATTGGTGGAGGGATTAAAAATGTGTAAGGGCTTCAGTGGCCAAAAATTCACCTGTTTTATGAAATTAAAGCAGATCTTAGCATAGGAAATAAGATGATTAAATTAAAACATACAGTTGTGATGTACCAAAGTTGAGGAAAAGCAAATACTTAATTGTTTAAGATTACAGAAAGTCAATACATTTCAGTAGTTGTTTGATTTGGAGAATTTTGTGAAAATATTATCCAAGAAGATTTTTAAAAAGAGCTTTCTCATTCCTTTTGTTTTTTATTACTTACATTTTAAAAAATTGCACAACTTTAAAATGGGAGATTAATATTGAATATCCTAAAATTCAGTATCCATTGAATCTATCCAGACATCCCTCTCTACTTTCCAGATGTTTCCATGTTCTTATATGATTAGCTCTGACTCAGAAAGGAGAAACTTTTCACTTTGTCTGTCAAACCCAAACTATTTGACCTTCAAGGCAAGAAAAAACCCCCACAATTTTTGGATAAAATGTGGTGTTCCTGTCACTTATTCATTCAAGTAATTTGGGGGGAATTAAAAAAGTATAATCTAAAATTTTAAAGAATATTATTAGTGTTACCAGAGGCATAACAACAACATCTGGCGCAACTGGTATTCAACGAACAAATAAAGAGAACCACATAGCAAGTTAATAGTCAAGATTATGAATGACTCCAAATAATTTATCTTCTTCTGATAAAGTCCTACCCTTATGATTTTTTACAAATTTCCTATTTAATCATCACTTTGTACAATCTTTCCTAATTATATTTTGGCTTACAAATCTTCTTTTGTGAACTGTGATTATTTTTCTGAGAGGGAAAACAATTTGAGGTATTTTAAAATTTACAACATGCTCTGATATTTTCTTCAAACTGAGGATAGTCAGACTATTCAGAAGGGATAGGCACTGGCTTTTCAGCCACGGCAAGCACCCTAAGCTAGATCTGTCGAGATGGGAATACGTCTACCATTTGGCACTCTATTGAGAAATATATTTGGCGAAAATATAACTGAGAAGAAGTTAAAATATCTTTGAGTGCAATATTTATTTTTTATTGGCAAGTTGTTGATGCTATAAAAACAGCTCTAATCTCCCGATAAATATCCTTGAATACTCTCTGTCAGAAGGTGGAGCTCTAAACATATCTGAAATACTGGCTTTTTATATGTGTGTTTCACAAATGTGCGTAATGAGGAGATCAAACCAGGAGTAAAGTCTTTAGAAAAATGGTTCTGAAGACTATTCCAGTTCTCTCAGGATAAAATCACCCACATCTCCCAATATGCACATGGTTAACTAACAAAAAAGATATTTAGTACGTTCCTTTGAAACTTCAATATATTGCCTACTCTAAAAACATAGGTATGGTAATTCAGAATAAAAGATAAAGTATATTTAAAAAATAAAGCACATTTAAAAAATCAGAACCATCTACTTGAACGTTGGCAAGATCGCTAATACTTACAAGCATCCCGGATGTAGAGCAACATGGCTATGAAGATATAATCAACTAAACTCAGGCTCAGGCCATCTGCAAACAAGGCATCCCAGACGACCAGAAGATCCTGCAGGGGGAACTCTCGTCCGAACAGCAGTCGCACCCAACGTCTGGAGAGCAACAGACCAAATTCAGAAAACAGGACTTTCGCAAGTAACATAAAGAGCACTCATTTTCTCTTATAACTGTGAAAAAAATTATAATTTTTAACAGATCACACTGAGCAAATATTACCTATCAAAAATATAATATAGTAAAACTCGTTTTAAGCTTTCAAATGAATTTTGTAATTTCATAACTAGGCCACAATCATTAAGCTTTATTCATATATGTATCGAACACAAGTACAATATTAGAAAAGGGTAGAAATCTTTCATATTTAATAGAAATCACAAATCTCAAAAAGGCGAAGAGAAAAATGGATATACATAGTCTGAAAGTTGTAAGGTTACAAGGTAAAAATTACAATTTTCCAAAATTTTATGATCACTACTGATTTTTTTGGTCAAGCATAGACAGTTATTTCAAATGAAACATATAGCGATACTTAATTTTTAACTTCAGAATAGATACGCCTTATCAGCGAGGTTATCTTTCTGGGGGTGTTTTCAAAACACAGTCACTTTTATGGCCAGGAAAAAGGCTATCTATGCTACAGAGAGACATAAGCAGCTAATAAGAATACTAAACAAGGCTGTATATAATTATGTATCATAAATAGGAACACTTCAGACTTTTAATAAATGCTAACTAAGCTACCAACATCTAATTCTTATAAGAAAATTAAAATAATTCACTTTGATATGTTTTATCCACTTACTTCTAATTTTATATAACATGACCGCAAATTTCCTTACACAAGCCTTTCTCTAAGAACTTCAGCTAGAATTCTTTGTGATTCTGGCACACAGCAATGAATAAAAAATTCCAGATTTCTAGTACTACCAAATAGTACAGAATAGAGGAAATTCTTTAAAAATTAGTTAACAGATATTACCTCTTTGCAAAATTTGAAACCAAATATAACCATCTGTGGGGTTAAAGTGAGGCCAAAAAAAAAAATCAAATACTTTCTTTAGGGAGTATTACATTTAAGGAGGAACCAAAGCTGTGACAAAATAGTGTATAACTACACATATATATCACAGTTTATTAGGAACCATATGATCAAATACTTAAGTTCTTTTATTCATACTATCAAATTAATCAACAGGGTAATTTTCTTTTCAACTAAATCTTAAATTATGTTACTCATCTTCTCAGGAAAAGAAATTTAATGCCTAAGTAACATTTACCTTTTTAAAAATGTTACAGTATCATTTACAATTTTTATCTACCTTTCAATTCTTATTCCACTGCTAATACAAGAGGTGACTGAAAGAAAACACTCTTTTGTCTAATACGCCTGTATTTACATGGCTTAGGAGAAAACATTATTTCTCTACATATTTCTAATTCTCTCAAATTATAAATGCTAGTATTTACTCTTTTAAGAAGTGCAAACATACCTCTAAATTAAATAGGTTGCTCTTCTTAATTACAAAGAATTAACTGGTCTCACCAAGAGTATCAGGAGAAACAGAATGCAAAAGTACCTGGATTAAAGCATTTTGGGCACCTGTTTAAAGGAACTTTAAACTGATAACCATATCTGCATTATGAAATGACTAAAACATCTAGAACATGGTTATTCATGGTCATTCAACTGAGCAACTAGAAGAAAAATTTATCAATGAAAAAAACTGATGAGGATCTAACGTATAACATGGTGACTACGGTTGATAACACTGTATTTAATAACTGAAATTTGCTAAGATAGTACAACTTAAATGTTCTCACCAAAAAAAGAGAGAAATATGTGAGGTGACAGATGTGTTAACTAACTAGAGGCATCCTTTCACAACGAACGTGTACATCGAATTAACATGATGGACACTTGAAATATCTTACAATTTTGTCAATTATACTTCAATAAAGCTAAGAAAAAGAAAGAAAAAGACAGAGAGAAAGGGAAAGAAAGAAAAAATAAAATTATCTTGGTTTAATGGATAGACAAATTTTGGCAGTTTCAAAATTGAACATTTAACTGATTCCTCCTGGTTCATATCAGGATGCCAGTACAAAATTCAAGCATCAATAGTGCTGTACCCTGAACTTGCCCCTTTCATTCTTGGAGGCTGTTTTAATGCTTTCTTTATTTGAATAAGCCCATTTAGTAACTACTCTGCTGTTTCCTGAAAAACATTGCTTTTGCTCAGCCTTCTGATATGTAGGGAAAAATTTTCTAGGCGTTTTCCCTGATATTTCCTATTGAAAGCAAAATTACTTTTGAAAAAAGTTGACATCTATCACACTATAATAGACACCATTTAGCAAAACAAGAAAGAAACTGATCAAGGTTAATACACACCAGAGATGAGAATACAATATTATCTTTGCCCTCCTTCCTTAGAGCTCGAATTCCTCTCATTTTTTTATGGACAATCACATCTTTGGTTTCATCACAGACAGTGCTTCAAGAGCAAAAAAAGAAACAAAGTAGCCTATTTTTTAGAAATAATATATATTCCTATTATTTCTACAACAAAATACCTAGTTATTGCTCAAACTTCTTCTCTTGCAACCTTTCTACTGAGTAGGGTTGTATTAGCTTAGATTCAAAAATGACCCCACAGAAATATACCTGCAGCAATTTCCACTGCAGCACCATTAGGAGGGGCACTGCAAACACCTAGTAATCTACACTGAATAAAACATATGTTCGAAACTACACAGAATGTAAGTCCTCAGTACTTTTATATTTAATGTGTAATCTATGATGTGCTGCTTTATAAATGTTTTACATTGCTTTATTTTTGAAGTTTCACCTTGCCAAGTACATTGCTAAATAATTCCAGGGCAAGGACCAAATTCTGCACACGTGTGTGTGTGTGTGTGTGTGTGTATGTGAGAGAGAGAGAGAGGGAGAAAGTTCTTTGTAAGGAGCTCTGTACACTTTGCTAAGTGCTCTATGTGTTTACCAAAGTATTGTTACACTCATTGTAAAGCCACCTGTCAAGCTACTGAGAAGCAAAAGAGTAGCTAAATTGGAAGGACAGGAATTGATCTTGTTAGTGGCAGCAGAAAAATAATCCAAGAAGTGGGAAAAAACCAACACACAAGGAAAAAAATTTAGATGCTTAGCATGTTCCTTTTATATAAGACTGTAAGTTGTACATACAAGGATATTAAAGCAAAATATAGTTTCCTCTATTTTATATGCAATTATAGGAAAATTAAGGACAAATTCTAAAAATATTTAAGAAGTACCATATGATAAATGAAATGCTTTGGGACCAACAATGACCTTATCAAAAATTTAATCATTTTTATCCCAACTGGATTTAGTTCATACATATATTCACCACACACAAAATTTCCTGTGCTATTTTGAGCTTTCTTCATTGAGCCTAAAAGCCAAGGAAAAATTCAGTTCGTTATGGAATGAGTTACCAATAGAAATTATTTCAGTAAGCTTTTGTATTCTTAGAAAGGAACACTTACTCTCAGCAATGAGGTCTTATAAAGAAGTCACTCCTAAAATTAACATGCTTTTATTGCAGTTAAAAATATTTAGCTAGCGTTTAAGATACACTTAAAGGTAGCATTAAACCTTCCTTTCTCCTTACAGATAGCTTCAGTTTAATTGCTTGATACTATTAATCGTGCTTTATGTACGTTACACCTGCAGATTGCAATGCTCACAATCATATACATTTCATCACTTGTGATAATACAATAATTCATATTTTACCAGACCTACTTAGTAATTAAAATCTACACAAACAAAAAAGACTATCTGAGGTATTAAATTTAATAATAAACCACCCAAATACAGGACAGTTTCTATGTTTGCACGTATAACACTATTCTCAATTTTAAATTTCTGTGTAATTAAGCTGCTATCCCCAGGGGATCAGTAACTCCTGATGGTATTATTGCTTGGTGAATGACCCATGGAAACACCAAGAGAAATCCATTTTTTACCAATCAGTTTATGAAAATGACCAATTTGACTGAGGTTTAAATAAACATAGTCTTAATCCAACATGGCTGTAGCAGGCTATACAGGCAGAAAGAAATTTTTATACCAGATCTTCATTTCCTTTTGTTTTCCTTTAATGACCCTTTAGTGAGATATGGATATAGCCACCTTAAAAAAAAACAAGTTAAGTAGAAAAGGTATATTCATTTAACAAACATTATAAGGGCTTCTTAAGTAATCTGTGATCAGGAAATGATAGCATTGGGCAAGCATATTGCAACATAAAAGGGCAACATTAGATTTTTGCTTAATGATATTAATTTTGTCTTTTGCTTTCTGTTCACTTGCACTTTTCAAAGCTAACAATTAACTTTTAAATAATCCATGCCTGGTGGCAACAAACACAGAATCCAAATTCTGTATTAGTATCAGAGAAAACAAAAGCAAACCGAAGTGTCCATGTCTGTGGGTTGCATCTCCTTGACGGCGTTTAGGTTCTTCTTCTATTAGGTTCCTTTGTACTCAGTTCTTTTTAAATTAATTTACCCTGAGTTTTCCTTTATATCAACTCTGTGAAAACAGCCTTAAAATTAGAACCAAATATTGTAGTTATTATAATTAGGGTCACAAGGCATTCTCATCTTTAATTCTAACTTCTTTGGAGAGCAAAGCTACAAAAGACGGAAGCCAAAATAAATCATTTTTTCCAATTTCACATTTATTCTTCTTCTAACGGCTCTGCAGAATACATTATCAGAAGATGCTTGGCCTGTTTTATAATTTTTTTTTTTACCTAGTCAACTATTTCAATTCAGTCCTCTTAAAACTGTTTGGGATCTGCATGCATTACAGAAAGATTTGAATACTTAAAACCCATCAAACTCTGCTTTAAAAATAGAAGGAACTGAAACTTTGAATTAGTCATCATTCTTAAAGAACTCAAATTTGCTTTCTAAGTGCTCCTTGTAATCCACGGGTTGAACCTAGCTTGAATTTGGCTTTCTGGCAACACATGTTAAACCTAATTTAACCCCCATGGGATATGTACAAGAATTGTTAAGTGTATTTTTGACTTTGGGGAAAATT